AAAATTTTTAGAAAGCTAAGGGGGGGGGGGGAGTCCACACAACAAATTTAATAATACTGGCAACAAGCCCTGCACACTGAACAACCTAAATGTATATTACACATTGCTGTTACATACAAACACAAATGATCTGCATATTCAAAATAGTTTGGGAATATATGATTAAGTACAGCTATGGTGTGGAAAAATATAAATAAATAGCTCTCAATAAAGAGGTCAGCACATTAGCCCAGTTATTATAATCCATATTACTGGTAGTAATTTTGGCAGCTGGGTGGAATTGGTGAATAGAGTCCTGGACTTGGAATTAGCAAGTTGCGAATTCAAATTTTGCCTCCAGCACTTATTGGCTGGGTGAACCTAAGCAAATAACCTCTCCAGGCTCCATTTCCGCTTAGATGCTAATCAGCAGCTACCTTATAGGGTTGTTGAAGATAATGTCCATGAAGTACTCTGCAAAAAGTGCCATGTAAATGCTAGCTATTACTGGCAAAGTCTCACATTATAAAAATAGCAATAATATGAGTATATGGGGAAAATATTAATAACTGCTACAAAATATAAAATTAAGTCATTACAGGATCACTGCAGGTCAATCAAGAAATGATAAAAACATAACCTATATTTAAAAAATAACCCAATTCAACTGACCTGAATAACTTTCAACTATTCAAAATTTTCACATTTGTTAAGAACATCCCTTCCCCTATCAAATGTCACGTTATATAATGTATTTAAACATCTTTCACAGACGACAGTTTCAATAAAATTTTATCTTTAAATGGAGCAAAATTGTTCCCCATTCCTAGAATGAAGTCTAACCACACTCCTTTCTCTCTGCCTGCTGAACTCCCTTCTCTTCCGTTAAAACTCCATTTGGATGCCACATCCTCAAAGAATTCTTGAATCCTCAAATGAGTCTGTGTCACACATACACACACACACACACACACACACACACACACATATACATCTATACAGTTGCAGATCACAAACATCCACACCAGCCATCCATGTCATCCCATAAATTCCACACAGGAGTCCATCTAGCATACTGAAAGAACTTCCTCTGTTTTTCTTGACGTTGCTAAAGATACCAATGAAAAGCACAAGCTATACATTGGTGATGATTTTTCACTCTTGCCAAGTGCTACTGGTCCATCTTTTTTCCCCCCAAACATGAATAATTAATTTGTATTTGCTTAACTGAAGCTTCATGTTTAGAAAGAACAATAAAAGCTTAGCTTAATGTAAACAAATGATTCTAATTTTAATATTTGTTTAGGTTTTGTTTTGTTTTGTTTTTACAAAAAGGCATCATACAGATTTAAAAAGCATCATATATGAGACTGCTAATGACAAAATATTGCAAATAATGGTAAAACTACAACTGAAACGATCCATCTTGGACTTTTTTGTCACGGTCATTCAGAATATGGCAACTGCCCCTACCTTTCCTCCCACACACTGTTAAATGTTCCTAGCACTACTTTTGAGAACTACTTAGATGGACAGGTCAAGTCATCAATATGAATATTCACATGAAACAGAACAAAATCAGTTCCTATTCTATCCTGTAGGACTTTTGTCCATGTCCTCTAGTACCACATGGGGTTCACCTAACCCATTTTGAAAATAACCACTAGAAAATGTACTGAGGCAGGGCCATTATGATCAATATTAATGGTCAATATTAAACAAAACTAAAAATGCAGTGAAATACCATAGATACAACAGTTGCACCCAAGTTAACTAAGTTTGAATCTCTTTACATATAAGACTAATAATAAATCTCCTCTTGAGCTACATGTTTATATTAACAGTATTTCACATAATTCAACAGGTTCTACGCTTTCTATATAATACTCCTACACGTACTGTAAGTTGATTAAATAATTTAGTGTGCCCTCTTCATAAAATTATTTGCAAAATTAATAAAGTATTTTCTTTTCTTTTAAAAGCTCATATTAGCAACCAAATTCTCTTCCTTAAATTTGAGTTCTCTTTACTTTTTACTGGAGTTTCTAGTGATGGCCAGTGTGGCAACATTCTGGGTAACTCTTTATGAAGTTTAATTATTTCAAGCAACTAATTAACTTATTTCCACCTTCAAAAAAGGCCTCTTTTTCTTGTCCTATTGTGTCCAAGATATTTCAATGTAAATAAATACGCGCGTCTGTGAACAGTTTGCATAACATAAAAAACCCTAACTTTTCCTCTCTGTGGCAACTTGTTTGATTTGATTCCATGAACAATTAAAAAAGCATCTGTACAAGGCTTTATGCTTTAAGGAGGGTTGAGGGGGTAACACAGTTATAGCTCATGAATAAAGACATAAAAGCCTGTGTAATTAAAAGCTCCACTAAGTAATAAAAAGGTGACCTCATAGTGAAAAGGTATGGGCTGAGTGCAAAAGGAGTTGTAAAATATGCAAAATGAGTACCTATTTATTACTAACACAAGAGCCACAGGAACAAATCAGATGTGGTGGCAAGTGTTATCAAGAACACTTTTTTCCCTCAGAAGAAACAGAAAAAACCCCTCTGGAACTCAAAACAAAAAAAAAAACCCAACACATTTTCTACTTCCATTTAAAGCAAATTTGAATGGTGATGGCAAATATGGAATTAAAACATTCATATAGGGCTTAAAAGTTTGCAAAATGTCTTACAAACATTGTTTTATTTGGTCCTAAGAAGTGCCACCCTGTGAAGGGGGGACAGTTATTGTCACTCCCTTTTTACAGGTGGGAAAACCAAAACATCTCCAAAGCATACCCAATGAGAGAGTATGCTTCGAGAAACAGATTATCAGAGCCTTCATTCAACACTCAATGTGAGGTCATATTTATAGTGTGCTAATCTACAGCAATTAACAAGGATAATTTGATGGTTAACAAATACATAATCACCAGATGGAGGGGATCTTTTTTCCTCTGTAATTTGAGGTTATGTGTATTCTTCATGATCACTGAGATTCTTTTTCAGCATGAGTCTGTGGTTCTGCACAAAGGAACAGCCTGAATTTGAAAACTGAACAACTGAGGCACAAAGTGTTCTAATAAGTCAGTTGTATTAATGCACAAATCAATAACAGAACTAAAATGAAGTCAGAAAGAGACAGACTTCCAAACTGAATCAGCCACCATGCCACAGTTTAAAGAGGTGTTTTTCATTACTTTGGTTACAATTATTCATGAACAAAGGGGGTGGGGTAGGGATGGGCTCAGCACAAGTTTGAAAATGAGCATTATCCTTTATTCTTTAGAGAAAACAATCTCTACTCAGTAAATAATATAAATTGTGAAATGTCAACAGTTGCTTTTAAAGAAATGCTAGGATCCTTAAGATGAACAGAGGAGCTCTTAAATTAACAACACATAACACATTTTTCTTTTTTTTTTAAAGAACATTTCAATCAAATTGGTGCCTATTCGACATCTTGAATCACTAAAATCCAAGAATTAGCAAAGCTTGAAGAAAAAGAAAACAACATACTGAGGGGAAAACGAACCTCTTAATTGAAAAGAACAATGAAAATTTTTCCCCAGAGTAATCAGATTAACACATTACAGAAAGTGTGAGTAATATGAATAGGCTATTAATGGTCCATATTTATGTATAGTATTTTGCTATTAGTTTTTCCACAAGAGTTTACTTTTTCCTTTAACCTTCATTTACAAGAGAATGAATGTGAGCTCAGGAAGAGAAAAAAAATCCGTTTGCAAAATTTGCAAGAGAAAAGATAATTATAGTGTTCTTGCCAAAATGAATATGATTAATGTCCAGAGATAAAAAGTTGAGAGACTCTAGGCTCTAATTCTTTATTATAAGCACATTCACACCAATCATCACCTCAATGATCTTATTTAAATAAGTTTTCTCTTCCCTTGCCCTCCCAATTCTTCCATAATAAACTCTCTCCTCAAGATGTCACATTACATACTTTCTTTTAACACCTCTTTGTCCTCTGTGGAATTCAATGGATAATATCTCACATTCAAAGCCCTCAATGAACTGTACACTCTTACCTTGCCTCTCCCCAAATTCAGCCAAGCCAACTGGTTCATCCTGTTAATCATTCAACAAGTATCTACCGAGCACACTAGAACAAAGTCCCTCTAATTTTTTTAAAGCGATGAGCAGAAAATCATGCAGAATGAACAACAGACTATGACGACTAAGCATGTGGATGTAAAATGTGACGTAGATGGATGTATGGCTTGTGGAATCAGTCTTATTACTTGGTAAGTATTCTTTACTGACAAGGTCTACTGCTGTAACCATAACTTATGACAAAGTTAATTTGATGCATATTTAATGATATACATCATTATTGTGCTACACAACAATTAGGCATATAAGGCACATAATTCCAATAAATCACTGTAATCATTTTCATGAAATTAATTTTTTTTAAATTCTCTTCATAGTGCTAGTTCTCATGTTGATGACAAAAGTGCACAAATTACTATCAATATTAGTTTTTACATTAATGTCAGCAAGTGGATGTTTATTTTTTTTCTCCTCACTTTGTTAGCCCTCCAGTATTCATGATCCCATCAATAACAACAATTTTTCTCATTTCAAATAAACTGGCAAAGTCATGGGTCTGGCTTCCCATTGGTGGAACTTTTTTCTTGCTCTTCTGATTTGTTATTTGCTGCCCTGAATCAATGTTAAATTCCAGATGAGGCTTTGCTCTTATTAGCATTATTACAGAAACCAGCTAATTTAAGAGCCTGTGTCTCCCTAATACCAATTCTGGGAGACACCCTGACCACAAGCCCAAGTGAAATTCTCTTCACACTAATGCTCTGCTAGTCTTGGAAGCAATTACTTTCAAACTCTTCTATGAGAGTAGGTGCTATTCCTGACAACAGTGTTTGTGCTAAACAAAACTGATTGCACACTTTTTAGAGAATGGAAGGCCAAACACAGACCAGTGCCATGAAGTGATATGTCTACAGTCATCTTGCAAGTTAATGCCAAAGCCATGAATATTATTGTAGTTTTTTCACTTTATTTCAATGTTATTTTTGTTGTATCACAAACTTAATATGGTCATTTTGTCTCTTTTTTAAAGCACTTACCCTTAAAATATACACTTTAAAAATACTAAGACAAATATTAAAATACATTTTGAAAATCCTCTAAATCATAACCAACTTTTCTTCAAACACACAGCTCACCTAAAAAAAAGTCCAGACAAATCTAACATTAATTTTTTTCCACTAAAAGAGAACTACTTTACTATGCTTATTGACAAATAAGACCAATCATAAAGTACTTGTGCATTATATGAAATAGAACTTAATTTATTTCATTTATTCATCCATGGTACAATGGTGCCTTTTTGTTCAGTCCACTCATTTTCACCATTAAGCCTTCATTTAGTTTAATAAAATATACCTATTTTAAGGTTTTTGAGAAAAGGCTATTACTTCTTTTGTTTGATAAACCTTCCTGCATTAGGATGGCTTATTGATTGGTTGGGTCATACAATGAAAGTGAGGATTAAGTGACAATATTCAAACCAATAACCAGAATAAGAAACAAATATTTATTGTTCATAGTTGGGCAAATCTGTGTCCAAACATTATTGAGCCTACCTAATAGACAGGTTACCTGATCGGGAAGAAATTCTATTTTAATACCGTCCTGCAAATTTATACTGCTGGGATTTTCCACAAGAATTACTTTATTGCTATTGAATTCAAATGTAATGGATGCTCTTCCTCATTTCCTTCTCCCAGCCTCCTATGTCTTCACTACTCTATTTATCACATGTGGTTCTGCATCTCCTCGGCCTCCTGTCCTCGTGACATAGTTTAAAAAGACATCAGGAAGCTGGAGAGCATGACATCCAGAATGGAGGAGAATGAAGGACAATCAGGATGATGAAGGGTCTTGAGTCCATGTGATGTGAGCATTAACTGAAGAACCTGGAGATATTTAGTTTGGAGAAGAGACAATTCGATGAAAACTAGTTATCTTCAAAATTTTGAAGGGCTGCTTGAAAACAGGGATTAGTTTTGTTCTGTTTGGTTCTCAAGTGCAGAGTCAATACCAATACATATAAGCTGTAAAGAGAAATTCAGATTTGATGTCAGGAAAATCATCTAAATAACTGGAACTTTCAAAAAGTGGGCTGGACTGTTGAGAAGTAGGAAGTTACCCCTCATGGGAGGTCTCCACACAGAGAATGAATGATCATTTATTTATATGTTATGTTATAGCAGGAATACCTAACCAGTGTGAGCACAGCTAGATGGCCACTGAGTTCCCTTCCGACTGAAAAATTCTGTGATTCTGTGATAGCCCAAAGCTCTCCCACAGACCCTTACTAAAGGAGTGATGCAACTTTCTAAAAACCTGCCTCTAGGTATCTCCCCAACCCACCACCTGGAGCTACTGCAGCAATTAGGACGTCCAGCCAATGCCCCTTTCTCACTACACAAGAAGGTCGGCTTAAGGCCTTTCCCCATCATATGGTTCCTCAGTGATATCTCTGGGTTTTTTTAAACATGTAAAATTTTTTTAACATTCTTTTCAAAAATGTTGAGTTACAAATTCTTTTACTCTCTCCCTTCCCTCACCCCTCCCTGAGAAGGCAAGCAATTTGTATGTTATACATGTGCAGTCAAGCAAAACATTTCCATATTACCCATGTTGTGAAAGAAAACAGACCAAAAACACCCCAAGAAAAATAGAGAAAAAAATTTTTTTTAAGTATGCTTCAATCTGCATTCATACTCCATCATTTCCTTCTCTGGAGGTAGATAGCATTTTTTATCACGAGTCCTTAGGAATTGTCTTTGATCATCATGTGGATGAGACTACCTAAGTCATTCACGGTTGATTATCCTTACAATGCTGCTGTTACTGTGTACAATGTTTTCCTGGTTCTGCTCACTTCAGTGTGTATCAGTTCATGTAAGTCTTCTCAGGTTTTTCTGAAAGCCTCCTGCTCATCATTTCTAGTAGTATTCCAGTAGCACTCTATTACAATCATAATGTACAATTTGTTTAGCCATTCTCCAACTGATGGGCATCCCCTCAATTTCCAATTCTCTGCCACCACAAAGATCTGCTATCAATATTTTTGTACATATAGGTTCTTTTCCTCTTTTTTGCTGTCTTTGGGATACGGACTTAGTATTGGTAATGCTGAGTTGAAAGGTATAAAGTCTTACAGCCTTTTGTGCATAGTTCCCCAATTATTCTCCAAAATGGTTGGATCAGGTCACAACATCACCAACAGTGCATTAGTGTCCCAATTTTCTCACATCTCCTCCAATATTTGTTATTTTCCTTTTCTCTCATATTAGCCAATCTGATTGGTGTGAGGTGGTACCTCAGACTTATTTGCATTTCTCTAATCATTAATTAGAATATTTTTTCATATGACTATAGATAGCTTTGATTTCTTCTTTTAAAAACTGCCTATTCAAATCCTTTGACCATATGTCAGTTGAGGAATGAATGACTTGCATTCTTATAAATTTGACTCAGTTCCATTTGAGAAACAAGGCCTTTATCAGAGAAAGTTGTAAAAAATTTTCCAGGTTTTCTGCTTTCCTTCTCATCTTGTCTATGATGGTTTCGTTTGTATGAAAACTTTTAATTTAATGTTGTCAAAATCTCAACGATATCTTTGATATCATTTCAATGACATTTCTTATATCACTGATACAAGAAGAACCTCCATCTTTATGTTAATGCCTTGCCTCTGAGATTATCTCCAATTTACCCTACAGGTATCTTTTTTTGTACGTAGTTGTTTGCATGTTGCTTTCTCCATTAGACTGTAAGCCCCTTCAGGGCAGAGATAGTTTTTGCCTTTCTCTGTATCCCTAACCCTGAGCACAGTGCCTGGCTCATGACAGCTGCTCAGTAAATGCTTGTTGGTTTAACCTGACTTCCCCTGAAAAACAGCCCCATTGTTGGCTGTGCTGAGGTTGTAGAGACACATTTACTCCTTACTGGACAAGAAATGTTACTGAGCTGAGATTCTGTGAAAGACAAAGACAAAGGAGAGCGATTTAAAGAGAGACAAGAATGAGGTTTTGAATGGGTACTGGGATCTTTGAAACTGCTAAACTGTAAAGGAAGCCAGCCTCCCCAATATGCTGCTTGACTCTCAAGGCCTACATCATCCAGATTGCTGGAACTGGACACATCTTAGCGTTCTCCTTCTCTCTCTCCTTAATGTAAAGGAACTGTTTTACCTCACTCACAGCTGATGAGCCCCTTTACTGTTGTGTCTTCTTTGATCTATTCCAACTTGTACAGCTTCTCTGACTTCTTCTTACTGTTTTGCTAGGATAAATGGAGTTTATTCGATTTTCTCTGATCACATGGTCTTTTGTGTAACCACCATATGGTGGGAAGAAACTAAGCTGGTGAATCTTAAGCTATTACCTTCCTCTTGAAAATGATCAGGAAGGTGCCTTTTATTGTGAACATATTGAACCCCTGACTATCAATATCTGAGACATGTTAGACAGATATAATTCTAGCCTCAAGCCATTCCAGAGATTAGGGAAGGAACATACAAGCACCCAGTCACAACCTTCCTCCTGTTCCCCTCTAAGTCACAGTCCTCCCCGAGAGAGCTTTGGCAAATCCCAGATATCTATTTATGCCCCATGTGAGCCCAAGTGCCATTATATTTAGAAAGCAAACATGTATATGTTACAGAGACGGCAGTAGATAGATTGCTGAGCTGGAAGTCAGAAGGATCTGAGTTCAAATTCAGCCTAAGACACTTAGTAGATGGCTGGCCTTGGGCAAATCATTAAACCTCTGTTTGCCTTAGTTACTCAACTATATAATGGGGTTGCTAATAATGGCACCTAGCTCCCAGGGCTATTGTAAGGAGCAAATGGCATAATATTTATTAAGCACTTAGTACAGTGTCTGACACTATAGCAGGCACTATATAAATGCTATTATTATTAGTGCAAGTCATAGCTAGAAACAGGTCATATCCTGTTCATACAAACTATGAGGCTTCTCCCTTGTTCTCTGGGTCACCACAACTTTGGTTTTTCAGAGATTGTGATGTCCCAAGAATTGCAAACATAAAATATCACCAGAAGAACATTTGTACTGAAAAATATGGAGTTTTTGTGCCAGGGAGCAGCTTGGGATCATTGGAAACATCACACAATTTCCCAAATACCATCCAAACTGTTCTTTCCCTTCTCTTAAATTCTAGACCCAGCTCACTGTTCATCTGCATTGGCTTTGCTGATTTGTGTACTGATATATCATATTATATGCATAACACGTAATAATATAATTTACTCATAAGTAAACAACAAAATGATAAAATAATTTAAGGTAATAAAACAAAACCAAATGAACAATCATGGAACTTGTTTAAAGTCTATCTTGATAATTCTCTTCTTAGATTTTTATAGATTTTCTGTATTCTGAAAAGTAATCTTGACACAGAAGCAGCTAGGTGGCAGAACTGGTAAGAGCACTGGACTCAGAATCAGAAAGACCTGGGTTCAAATCCCATCTCAAACACTTACTAGATGTATGCCCCTGAATAAGTCACATAGCTCCACTCAGCCTCAGTTTTCTCATCCACAAAATGAGGACAATAATTATACCTACCTAGAGAAGGGTGGTTGTGAGGATCAAATGAGATACATATGCACAGTAGTTTATAAACTTTAAAGCACTATATAAACACTAGCTATTGTTACTATTATCTGTTAATGGGAAAGCTAGATTGTTTTTGCACAGAAATCAGTATACAGGCTATAATCAACTCTTTTGAGAGCTCTCTGTCCACACTATTTTCTTCTTCTCTCCAGAAGGCAAGAGAGAACAGTTCAGAATATTTGTCACTTGAACACAATTTTAAAATAAATTAGAAATAAAAGAACTAATAATACCAGCCAAGAAAAGGATTGAGCAACAGTCCTCTTCCCTTGCCATTACTGTGATGTCCTTTGTTTTGTCTCCATCAGATCACAGGTAATCATAATACACAGGAAATGTAACCACTTACACAATGCTCCAAACTTGAGCAGTGATTTGGAAAAAGTTCTCATGACAGAATGTACATTCTCCAGAAATAAACAGATATTGTACAACTTTCACACTTGCAAACAAGACTTCACTGAATTATCACAAAACCTGGCTGTCCTAAAGGGATGTCTAGGAACTCTCTTCTGGCATGTGAGGGGGCCGAGGTGGCCACCTCACCATGTAAGCTGGAATCCTGGGACCTCTCCAATACACCTATTATCTCAAGGCAGTATGCACATGGCTTGATGAAGGTGAAGAAACATATTCAGAAATGGCCAAAATGTTCAAGTCTCAGGGCAAATAATGACACTTGTAACACAGATACTGTTACTTTAAAATAACAAAAACCTCTAACATTTCAAAAGAAACCATTATGAGGCTATTAAAAACTGTGTTCAGTTTTGAAGATGACTTAGGCACAGTGCCACAGCTGCAATAATTATTATAGCTATAACTATGTAAACGAACCTTAATGCTTCATTAGGAAAGAGAAAAATGATAGTGTCAACCTCGCCATAACCGCAGCATTCAACATCAACACGCAGCTTCCCCCATGTGCAGCTGGTTCGCCAGCCACTGGGCAGCTTAGGTGAAAAAAAACAAAAAACAAAAAACAATTTCCACAAACTGCTACTGGCTCAAAGGCAAAATTGTTTCGGGATGAAAAGGTCAGTAAGAAGCAGTTCTCTTTTCAAGAGACAGATTATGACAGCATTTATAGAGAACTTAACCATCAAAGATTGGGAGTTTGATGGAGCTACATTTTATTAGCAGGTTACAAGCAAGTCTGCCAAGGAAAATCACAGACATAGCTGTTCCAAATAGAATACATGTAAAAAAGTGTTCAGAATAATTTCTATATTCTTCAGCATCCCTTTCACCTTAAGACAAAAAATTTCAGTGCCTAGCTAGATACAGTGTAAAAGTGGTTGAGAAATTGTCTGACACACATACATAGCTACAATTTCCTGGTGTTTACTGGGGTTGGTAATTTTGTAGGGACATGTAACTACTTCTACATAGCTGAACTGCT